CGCACGACCGCTCGTCTCCCACCTCGAACAGCTCTGCGGCGCCCACCCCAGGCGGCACAAGGTGGCCAGAACGGCCGAGCAGAGCCATCGGACCTAGCCAGCAAACACTTGCACAATGTTATCGTAGAGCGACGCCAGCATGATAAGCGGCATCCACCTCTCGACGATTGCTCGCCCCCAGAAACTAACGGCAAGGCATCGCCTTCGTGGACAAGGTCACCGGCGGGGTCGTCGCTCAAAAGAAACTGAAGCGCGCGATTTCCCCGCGGCAAGGCCGAAACAAGCGCCGCCGGGTTGCCATTGCACTTAAAATCTTAGACAGACCCTCGCGCGAAGAGCAAGAGCTGAAACCGACGGACCCGACGCCGAACCGACGCAATCCGAGACGCTATGAACTTACGCGCGGCTCGCGAGCACGAAAAGTTCACTTCTAGATTCTTGACACCGTCGACGAGGAAGAAGTTCCACTGAGCCAGCTTGTCAGAAGTCCTCCTCAACGGCGAAAAAATCAAGTTCTTTGTAGGGTCGCTTGAAGACCTAAATTCTCCAGCTGGTTGCACGGGGCTCCCAGGGCGCTGGCGAATCCTCGAAACAAAATTCGCGCGCGCGCTACTCCCGCGACAGCGCAATCATCGACAGCGAGGTACACCGCGAGATCAGGACCAAGAGGCACCGAGTCGACGGCCGAGGTGAGAAATATCCGGGAGAGGGTGGTAACACACGCGCAACCAGCGATGATGCCTTGAGCGACCCTGAAGAACGACGAGACATACTGTCCAACCTGGACAACACGGGGTCCAGAATAAATCGTGAGTAACAAACGCGACCGACGCAGCTTGAAGCCGCCTGCACGGCAACTTTCGTACTCGGCTCGCTAACCGGCGAGTCTCTATTGGGCCTCCCCATCTTCTCCAGGATGCCCGCGGTGCTGCTCCTATCGCTGAGGTGGCTGGCTGTTGTTTTGGCGATCTCAAGTTCCTCCTCGGTCCTCCGTGGATCCACCGCGGTTTTGGACTGAATCTGCTCGCGGTGGGTCGCCATCTTCTCGGCCGTGACCGTGGCGCTCGCGAGCTTCTCCTTCCGATCGTTCTGGTAGCTTTGAGCTTGTCTTCGTGCTTGTTGCTACTTCAACTGTTCAGTCCGTGCATTTACTTCGGATGTTCGTAGATGGCCTTGTAGGTCCTGTGGCTCAGCAGCGGCTGTCTTTCATGCCTTGTCGCTTACCTTGCTGACCGTGCATAGGTGCTCCAAGTCTTCCTTGGCCTCATTCTTGTTGTTCTGTCCTGGGCAAGGCGCTGGTACTGGTTCTTCCTTTGGTGTCTTGAGCTTCCCAACATCTTGTCAGTGTGTCGGTTCGCCAGCCCTGTCCTGCCTTCTCGGAGCTGGTGTTGGGATCGTCCTGTGGGAGCCAGTTCTTAAAGGTTGCTCTTTTTCGTCGTCGACCGCTCCAGTGTCGTTGTAAGCGCTATATCTGGCGAGGCGAATGTCCCTCTGGATGGCGTGCAGCTCTATGACCTTCACTTCGGAGATGTTGATATATGCTTGGGTCTTTCTTTCTTGACCTTTGGTGTGCTCGTACTGGTCTTCCGTTGTCTGCTTGATGTGGTCGATTCCCCTCGCCTGCTGAAAGAACGGGAGACTGCTGATGATCAGGGCCTTGATGAAGGAGATGTGTTCTTCTCCATCTTTTGCGGGTGGGCAGGCAGCGCTGCTATCCATGATGGCGGCTGCTGATCGTCGCTGGTCGAGGACCTTGGCTTTCTTCCAGTCCTGCTTGAGCTTGGGATCATTTGGTGGTGACTCCAAGTCTGGCCTCCGCGCGGCGTAGACCTTGCGCATGGGCATGATGTCGCCGATGGTGCTGTTCAGGTGGTCCTTGCAGCCCTGGGTGAATTCCCTTTGCTTCTCCTTGGTTTGTTGTTAACCCCTGCCGTTCTTGTCCTTGTTCTTTGTTTCTGCTGGCGGTTGCTGACCTGCGTGTCGTCGTCGTACGGCTTGGGAAAGCTGCCCTTGCCCTTGCCGGTTGCCCTTAGTGCCTTTACCGCTGGAGCTCAAGCTCCACTGTGTCGGGGACCTCGGGCTCCCACTTGTTATAGTTCCTCCACTGTTCGAAGCCTGGTCCGGCTGCGTGCGTCGTAGGCCGTGGAGCAAGTCCCCTGCTTGGAGTACGACCCGAGGTTGCTTCCAAGGGTGGCGGCGTAGTCCCTGAACCGCTCGCCATGGGTCCCGATGGTGTCACTATAGTTGGAGCTGGAGGTGGATGTCAAGGTGGTCGCTGGGCACTGTGATGCTCTTGAAGTAGATATCGTGCTGTATAAGTCGTCATAGTCTCCGGGCGTCAGCACGTTGACGATGTAATCGCGTATGCCAGGCGGTGCTGCGGGACTTCTCGTCCCGTGATGTCGTTGTTGCAGGTGTACTTGTAAGCGTGGCCAGTGTCGGTCGCGATGAGAGCTGGAATCGTTATCGCGGGCCTGTCGGGTGTGATGGCCACGCTGACCGCTGCCTCGGCTCCCCATGCGGCGCAACAGGTGCGGGATCGGGCGGTCGCGGCTACCCATGAATCTCCTCCTCTTCCCCCTCCTCCTCCTTCTCCTTCTCATCATCCTCCAACTCCTTATCATCACGTTTGCTCCAGCAGCATCCTCCCCTCCTGCTACTCATCGTTCTCCTCCTCCTTTTTCTCCGTCTCCCCCCCCGTCTAGTCTTCTTCCACCTCTCCACTCGTCGTCGTCCTCCTCCTCCTCATCCTCCTCATCTTCCTACTCCTTGTCCTTTCCTCCCTCACCTCTTCCTCCTTCTCCTCCGTCCTTCTCCTCCTCATCATAATGATTTTCCTCCTCCGTCTCCTCCTCCTTCTCCTGATCCGTCTGGTCCATGCTGCCTTCTCGTTATGCTTCTCCCTCGTCGTCTTCCCTCGTTATTGTCCTTTTCTTCATCCCTTCTCCTCCTCCTCCCCATCATCATCACCAGCATCATCAGCATCATCATCATCATCATCATCAGCATCATCATCATCAAAATCCCCCCTCCCCCTCCACATCACAATGACCATTAGCCTCATCCACTCCACCCTTGTTTTCGTCGTTATCATCTGCAGTAGTACCAGCAACCACATCAACAACATGCTTATCAACATCATCATCATCACCATCATCATCAGCATCATCATCATCATCCTCATTGTCATCGCCATCGTCATCATCATCATCATCGTCCTTCGCATACTCTTCCTGTCATTTCAATCGAAAGCGTGCTCCAAGAATGGCATCGCGCTACCGTCCATCAGTCGTCTGTCAGCAGCTTGCTCGGGTCGTCTTCTTCGGGCGCCGACAACATCTTCTTGGAGGTCCTCCGGATGCCTGCGATTCTCGCCGCCGTCTTGAAGCCTCCCAGCCCTTTTTTGTAGCACTGCACCTCTGCGCGCTCAGAAAAGAAGCTTCCATGCTAAGAAAGAATACCCCATACCGTCGGATAGTTTAGCAAAGCCTCCTGGATCAAAGTTCTGAGGCGTTGAGCCGCACTGATACATCCGAAAGGAGCTCATCCAGACCAACGATTTTCAGAACACACCTGGTTTCGATCTGGACGCCAACTGTATTCATAAAACCTGTGAGGGTGCACGTGATCATGGGAATCGCCTGGCTCGGGTCCACATCCAGCTAATGCTACCAGATTTCCGCCAGTTCAGCTGCTGAGGCCAACGCGCCATGCTTCGATCCAGCAGCCCTAGCGGGGCTCCGCTTGCCTTCTGTCAGAACGAGTCCCACCAGCCCTCTGGGCCCAGTGGTTTGACGAATTGTTTTCAATTCTCTGCCACAACCTCTCCTACGCCTGCTCGGGGGAAGGGTTCAACACTGCGCCTGATTGGTCTACACCCAACCCGGGACATGCCTCCCCCCCCCACCACACACGACACCCGTCAAACACCTCTCCTTCGCCTGCTCGGGGGAAGGGAGCATGCGCGGGCGCCCCGCGACCACAGTGCGTTGGCTTTTGGCAAGGACGGCGGGGGTGCCGTCGTACTGCTCGCTGCGCGCAGGCCAACCATCCCTGTCAAAAAAAGAAAATATTTTTCCCTACCTAGGCTCTGCCTAGAAGGGTTCTTACTCTGTTGGCTTAAAGGGGCCGGGCAGTGTAACCCGCCCCGGGCGGTTCCCGGGAGCCAAGCAAAAGCAACAGCAAAGGTAAAAGCAAACGTGCGGTTCCCCCAGTTGCGCTCCCTGGGTGCCAAGCAAAAGCAAAAGCAAAGGCAAAAGTGAAGGCAAGAGCGCAGGCAAGGCAAAAGCAAAGCAAAGCATAGCATAGCATAGCATAGCGCAGCATAGCATAGCGCAGCATAGCATAGCAGAGCCTACCCTAGCCTAGCCTAGCCCAGCATAGCATTGCGCAGCATAGCATAGCATCGCATAGCATAGCATAGCATAGCATAGCATAGCGCAACACAACCTCCACGATTGCTGCTGCTATATGTATGTATATATATATATATGTACACAAATAGTTATATGTGTGTGCGCACGTATGTTCCATGCATGTTGTCCGTACTATTACTACTACTACAACTACTACTACTACTACTACTACTACTACTACTACTACTACTACTACTACTACTGCTGCTGCTACAACTACGACGAGGAAAAGAAGGAGGAGGACGGCGTTTACCGCTCCTACTAATGTTGCTTTCCTAGAGGCTCCTAGGTAAGGTCGCACTGGGATAGTATTCCCTCCACGTGTGGAGCATGCGCGGGCGCCCCGCGACCACAATGCGTTGGCTTTTGGCAAGGGCGGCGGGGGTGCCGTCATACTGCTCGCTGCGCGCAGGCCAGCCATCCCTGTCAACATAAAATGCAAAAAAAAAACCTTCCCATTCACGTGTGGAGCATGCGCGGGCGCCCCGCGACCAGTGTGCGTTAGCTTTTGAGAGGGACGGCGGGAATGCCGTCATATTGCTCGCTGCGCGCAAGCCAACCATCCCTGTCAAAAAAACAAGGGACCGTGCTTTCCTCCACGTGTGGAGCATGCGAGGGCGCCCCACGACCACATTGCTGTGTTTTTTTTGAGAAAAAAAACGGCGGGGGTGCCGACATAGTCTTTGCTGCGCGCAAGCCAGCAATCCCAATCAACAAACAACACAAAATACACTCTGCCTCCACATCTGGAGCATGCGCGGGCGCACCGCGACCACTGTGCGCTAGCTTTTGGCAAGGGCGGCGGGGGTGCCGTCATATTGCTCGCTGCGCGCAGGCCAACCATCCCTGTCAACAACAAATGCAAGAGACCTTGTTCCCTCCACGTGTGGAGCATGCGCGGGCGCCCCGCGACTGCATTGCTGTGTTTTTGTTGAAGAAGACGGCGGGGGGGCCGACGTATTGTTTGCTGCGCGCAAACCAACCATCCCAATCAACGACAAATGATATATATATATATATATATATATATCGCCTCCACATCTGGAGCGAGCGCGGGCGCCCCGAAACCACTTTGCATTGATTTTTGATGGGGGCAGCCGGGGTGCCGTCATATTGCTCGCTGCGCGCAGGTCAACCATCCTTGTCAAAAACCATGCAAAATGCGCTTCGCCTCCGCATCTTGAGCATGCGCGGGCGCCCCGCGACCACTTTGCATTGGTTTTGAAAGGGACGGCGGAGGTGCCGTCATATTGCTCGCTGCGCGCAAGCCAGCCATCCTTTTCGACAAACAATACAAAATTTAATTTGCCTCCACATCTTGAGCATTCGCGGGCGCCCCGCGAGACCACTTTGCATTGTTTTTTGAAAGGGACGGCGGGTGTGCCGTCATATTGCTCGCCGCGCGCAAGCCGACCATCCCTTCCAAAAAACAATACAGAAAAACCTGTGCCTTCACACCTGGAGCATTCGCGGGCGCTCCGCGACCACTGTGCACTAGCTTTGGAAAAGGACGGCGGGGGTGCCGTCATTTTGCTCGCTGCGCGCCGGCCAACCACCCCTGCCAAAAACAATACAACATGCCATTTGACCCCGCGTCTGGAGCATGCGCGGGCGCACCGCGACCATTCTGCATTGGCTCTGGCAGGGACGGCGGGGGTGCCGGCATACAGTCGGGGCGTTGGCCTAAGGAGCCCCAAATAAGGAACGGGGCCCTTTCTCCCATACGTTGAACTTCGATTTCCCAGGGGAAACCTCGGGGAAACTGGAGGCAGACTGCAGAACAATCAAGGAGCGCCGAGCCCCTCTCCAACGAAAAGGGTTCCTTCTTCAGGGCCCCGACGGTATTGTTTTAAGCGTGGAGCGCGTGCCGCACCTGTGGCGCGCGCCGAGCTCGCAGGGGCCTCCGGGGGTGCCTTGGTGCACCCGGGGCCCGTGGCGCACAGGGCCTGCGTGACGCGCTCCTAAGCAATGTGCTGGGGCCGCTCGGGTCTTACAGTCATCGACCTGACCTAAGGAACGATACATAAGGAACGAAGCCCCTTTTTTTATCCCAGGGGATAACGCATAAGGAACGATAAATAACAAATAACGCATACATAACTGTAAGTAACGCATGCAAGCCTAAGGAACGACCAAGCCCCTTTTGAAAAGTAAGCGTTCCTTATTCAAGCCGCTCACTGTACTTATGTGTTGGGAGGGCGGGTGGGAGTGAGCGAGGCGGCTTGCGGGCGAAGGGGGGGGCGCGATCACGGTCCCCCATTCGTGTGCACCCCCTCTCCCAGGCGGCCAGCGGCCAACCAGGAGCCGTCCCCCCATCAACGCACTTTGCCTGCACATTTGGAGCACGCGCGGTCAACCCGATGCGGCCTCCCCCCACCATCCCTGTCAAAAAACTATACAACGTACACTTTGGGCAACATCTTGAATCATTTTCGTGAGGCCCGCGAGCACGTTGCATTGTTTTTGACAGAGACGGCGGAGGTGTCAGCATGTTGCCTGCTGCGCGCAGGGCCACACCAGCCCTAACCAAAAAAAGCACTACACATGCACCCCGCGGCTACATCTGGACAGTGCGCGGCCACCCCGCGATCACTGTCGAGCGGTTTCTGATTCCGACGCTGGTGGTAATCATGGTGATGACGACGATGGCAGCGATGACGATGACAGGCGCCCCAAAAATCGAATCGATAAGTCAGATCGGCGATCGAAGTGAATCGGATCGGCGGAAATCGGCAGCCGAGTCGGGAAAAGTCGAATCCGCGGAAATCTGAAAGCTAGTAGGCCTCCATCGAGAAATCGGAGCCCAAATCGGAATCCCAAATCGAGTCGAATCGGAATCGGAGGCCATCGAAATCGAATCGAATCGAATCGGAGGAATCGAAACAAGCCCTGCCGATGACGGCGGTGATCATGACAGCGCTGCAGAGGACGATGGGCAAGCGCTCGCCGACAGATAACCCCCAGCATCCTCACGCGCGTTCCGCAGCGTGCGCGGCCGGGTGCGCGCGTGGCCTTCACGGGTATGATTTGAAAAAGAGCTGGAGGAGGATGAGGAGAAGGGCGGAGGAGGAGGAGGAGGGAGGAGGAGGGGAGGAGGGGGAGGAGGAGGAGGAGGAGGAGGAGGAGAGGAGGAGGAGGAGGAGAGGAGGAGGAGAGTAGGAGGATGAGGAGGAGGAGGAGGAGGAGGAGGAGGAGGAGGAGGAGGAGGAGGGAGGAGGAGGAGAGAGGCGGAGGAGGGGGGAGGAGGAGGAGCTGGTGGGCGCGTGATGGTGGCATACGTTTTCGGCACGCGCACGTGCGGCCCGGAGGGTCTGGCCCGACACAATGGCTGACACCCTGCTCTGATTGGGATATCGATCGAAGTGTGGGCGACTAACCTTCCGACGGAGCTTGCCCATCCCCGCCCCTCCTCCTCCTCCTTCTCCTCCACCTCATCCTCCTCCTCCTTCTCCCCCTCCCTCCCCTCCTCCTCCCTCCTCCTCCTCTCCTCCTCGTCCTCCTCGTCCTCCTCCTCCCCCTCCTTCCTTCTCCTCCTCCTTCTCCTCCAACCCACCCTCCACCCCTTCCGACAGCACGTGCCCAACCCCCCCCAGCAGATCCAGGGGGGGGCGATTATTTCCCCATCCAGAGCACGTTTCTCTGGAGACTCCGAAGATGTCAGCGAGTGCGCGCTCACAAAATGACTAGGGCACTGGCCATGCCCTGAAATGGTCTTGGAAAATTGCTTTTGGATGGGTCTGACATGCGCGCCGCGCAGTGCTACCTCTGGTGCAAATGATTCATGGGAAATCCGTCGAGATGAAAAACTGCGAGCGCATGGTATGATCCGGCGGGACTGCATGGGGTGGCGACGCCGGCTTTCTTGGGAACGTACGGTCCGATATGGAAAATGAGCGATGAGGCATAGTCATATGTTGCCATCCCCCATGGGGTACAGTAAGTCCAGGGGGAAGAGGGTGGTAGAACCGAATATCTTTTTGACAATAGAAACAACCATGAAGAGCTGAAGTCGTCGACACCACAGCTCGCGCTAACATTTCACCCTGCCGCCGGCCAAGGTAACTCGGGCATGCGCGATTTCATCATGACGTATACAGAGGCGGCAACGATTATGATACTAGATATGACGAAGGCGATGATGACGATGACGACGGCAAGGCCAATGGCGGCGCCGATGCTGGTGGCAACGATGACGATTGAGGATGATGATGATGATGATGATGTCCCTGTGTCGGTGGTGAATGTGATTGTGATGCTGATTTCGACAACGGCGACGATGGATGACTAAGAAAACAGCGGTGAAGCGAAGTGCTCTGGCAGAGCATGCTGTTGCGAAACGATAGGTGATTCGTATGTGTGTTGGAAAGCTCTATCTTGAAATGCGTCGACGAAACACTGGTTTTGGAATAGCTTCGACACGCGTGAGTGGTGGCACGCACATGTTGCCCGCATGGTTTGTACGGATTCGGGCACTGGGCGCTTGCTAGATAAATTCGGACGTGAAGCGTTGCGTAATCAGAATGCGGGTTCGGGACGAGGTTGCTTGAATCAGATATCGTCATACAATATCAGCAGGTGCGCGCGGGCAGAGCATTTGCAAGATGGTTGATTCAAAAACAATGAGTTCTAAGTGCTTCAGGTTGGGATACTCGCAACACGGATTTGATTGGTATACTTGCGGCATGTGCGCGCGTGTGGAAGTCGCGGTATTTGCCGCACGGGGAATTGCTCAAAACCAATACTTCGAAAGACGCAAGTGCGCGCGCACTGTATTTTTTGACTGGGATGAAGGGGGGGATCAATAGCTGCACGGTTGGGATGATGCGATTTCTTATGGTGAATGGACGATGACGCAGAACCAACTGATAATTGCACGGTCCCATTGGGGAGGCGATTCGCTTAGGCACGACACGGTGTTAGAGCTTCCTTCGAAGAACAATGTATGCGGTCCAAGCTATGTGATGCCCTGTGCGCTGAAAGCTATGTTGCGCAAGTCATATGGTGCAGGCTGTGGTGCGAGCTATGGCGTGCAAGTTCTGCGGTGCAAGCTACGTGGCGCAAGCTTATGTGACTGTAGCTAGGTGGTGTACGCTATCTGGTGCAAACTGAGGTCGTGCGAGCTCTGTGGTGCAAGCTGCGTGGTGCAAGCGTGGTGCAAACTCTGCACGTAGGACAGCATGCGCCCACGAGGCGCCCGCGACTGGCCGCGGGCCGACACCAAGCGAAACCTCGGCACGGCTCCAACGAAGGGCCCACAGGCAGCACCGGGTGGCAACGGGGCGAAACCTTGGCACACCAATCCAATCACTTAGGCAACATAAATAAAAGCAGCTGAATGCAATCACGTGTTGAGAACATGTGATCGTGCCACCACACCCTCTCAGAACCCTTTCTCACATCTAGCGCCAACGGGCCCCACACAACCAAGTCCCCGCCTGTGCTCTCTGCCTTCGGCGTCATCAGGGCACGATTGAAGGCTTCTCTAGCCTTCTGCCTTTGAGCTGCAACGCCCTCCGCGCCGACGTCCACTGCAGTCCACACACCGATTTGGAGGAGGGACCAAGGCGGGAGTGAGGCCATAGATGGGAGGAGCAGAATGAAAGAATGAGGGGGCGAAGTGCTACACACCGAATGTTCGCCTCCGACGCCTCCACCGTTAAAGCGCGGCTGAACATGGCAAACCGCAATCATAGTCTTCAAATCGCCTGGGCAAAATTGCGTAACACACGCATGACTGCTCACCATAACTTCCGCTGTCCCACGTAATCGATGGACGACAGCCACGACACTCTCTGACACACAGATACTCACTCCAACGAGAATGCGGAGTGATTCCCGTGCTTCCTCCAAGCGAAGCAATCCTTTGCAGATGTCGTCGCCCGACTCGGCTAATCGAAGCCAGCGAAGGCTAAGCTCAGTTGCGCAGAAGACACTCCTGGGAGCCTTTCGTAATCATCTGAGTGGCCGCAGTGGCTCCTCCAGTGGCCCCCCCCGGATTGCCTCCAACGGCGCCTCCAACGGCCCCCCGCGAGTCTCCAGCAGCCTCCAGTGGCTCCTCCAGCAGCCCTCTGTGACTCCCAGTGGCCTCCAGTGGCCCGCGGTGGCATCCATTGGCGCCAGCAAGCTAACGCGGACCATTGGAGGTGCAGGAAAGCCAGACAAAGTGCCAACGACAGGCTCCCAGGATCGTTTGTCTAAACAGGCGAGCTGCGTTTGGATTGGCTCGAAGCCTGCAAGATCGTGGGCCGCAGCTGGCGACGATCCACGTAACGCTTCTGCCAAAAGCCGAGATAGCAAATGACGCGCCGTTAAGATGGCACGCGTGCGCGGACACGGGATGTATGTACGAAAGTGGACATGCAAGCAAGCAGGACACACCCATGAACGAACCCGCAAGCTCATACATAGGCAACGCCATTTGGAGAAGACACCTGGCACGCCCATCGACACACCACCGGCAAATACATATGCGCACGCATCAAACATCACAACAAAACCCGCACACGTGCCTGTACGGGGCGGGCGTGCTAGAATGCACATCTGTTGTCTGGTGAGATTTGTTTATTGTTTTCTAGGGCCGATCCCCTCCCCCTACTGGCGATCGCCCTTGGGCCCCTGGGAAATCCCCCCTCCAGAGTAGAACACCAATAACTCGTCGTCTGCCATGTCGGGCCATTTTCTGGATTAGAGTAAACATGGAATCATGGCAAGCGTGGGCCCCAAACAATAGGTGCGGCAAACAATTCAAATTGCAACATATGTATTGCAATCGATGAAATGCAATATCGGCGGTGCACTGTACGTTGTGCAATATATGTTGTGCAGCGTTATGTTGTGCAATGTAGGTGGAGCAACCAATGTGGTGCAACCTGTGCGCTGCAACGTGCGTTGAACAATGTGTGCTGTGCAACCTGTATGATGCAACCTATGTGGCGCAACATGTGTCGCGCAGCCTATGGCGTGCACTCGATGTGGAACCACACATGTGGTGCAATAGTGCGGGATGACGATTCAAACAAAAATGTGAGAGAACGATTAAACAAATAGTTTTCTGCTATTTCTGCACAATTTCTGACTGGAGGGTGACGATTAAAAAATAATGTTCAGGCCCGCGGCCGGTTTTTTCTAATCGTCATCTTGGGCGCCGCCGCGTGATGCACAATTTCTGACTGGAGGGGAACGATTAGAAAATAGTTTTCCAGCCCGCGGCCGGTTTTTTTCTAATCGTCATGCTGGGCGCCGCCGCGTGAACACGACCCCCGGTCATGTATTAATCGTCATCCTCCATTACGTGTGGTGCAGTTAGCCCTGCCGAACTTGAAGTTATCAGCTGCGTTGCTCGTGCTAATATCGCACCTACCCGCCCGAAACTTGATTTGAGAAGCCCGTGCGGCAGCGACTGCGATGACTGCTCGGCGCTGACTGGCGCATCGCCGCGGCCGCGCTAGCGCGCATGCTCGCGCGCGAAGCGGCCAGCTAGTTTGGCGCGACCGACGCGTCCACGGTGGCGCTGGCAGCTGGGCACTTCCCAGCGGGCACTCCACATGCAAGTCGGCGAGTTGGGCGGGCGCGGTATCAAGGCAACGTCGACAACAGTAGACACGAAGATGGTAGTAGCGATGCTGGCGACGATAATGGCAACGACGGCGACGAACACAGTGACTGCGTCGATTCTGATCACGCCTGCGACGATGACTGCGTCCTCGCGTCAGTTATGAAGGTGTTGGAACGAGTTCGACACGCTCGCGCGGCCAGCGCGCGAGGGTGGCCCGCCTGGTATTATTTGACACAGATCGTCACCCACAGCACATGCGCGCGAGGGGCCGCTTGGCAGAACTCTGTGAAGATATTGAAAAATTAGCCTGGCGGAGAACCCAGACACATGCAGTAGTGAATACCGCAGTTGTGGGTATCGTCGTCCGTGGAGCTCCCTCTGGGGCCACGAGCGCTGTGGTGGGCGGGGGAATCGCACGCGAACTGAGCCATTGAAGCCTTCCGTGGAGTTTCCTCTGGGACCACGAAACGCTGTACTGGGCGGGGGGGGGGGGCATGCGAACTGCGCCAGTGGGACCTTCGGTGGAACTCCCTCTGGAGCCACGAAGCGCTCTAGTAGGCGGCAAAAAGGGGGGGTGCACTCATGACTGCGCCACTGAGACTTTCGGTTGAGATCCCTATGGGGCAACCAATTGCTGTACTGGGCGGGGGTTTTGGGGGGCGCATGCGAACTGCGCCGCCTGGGACCTTCGGTGGAGCTCCCTTTGGGGCCACGAAGCGCTGTACTGGGTTGGGGGGCGCGCATGCGAACTGCACCACTGGGACCTTCGGCTGAGATCCCGATGGGGCCACGAAGCGCTGTACTGAGCGGGGGGGCGCATACGAACTGCGCCGCCTGGGACCTTTGGTGGAGCTCCTTCTGGGGCAACGCAACGCTGTACTGGGCGGGGGGGGGTCGCATGCGAACTGCGCTATTGGGAACATCGGGAATGCTCAATATGTGGTCACGAAGCGCTGTACTGGGTGAGGGGAAAGCATGCGAACTGCGCCACTGGGATCTTATGTGGGGCTCCCTCTGAGGCCACGAAACGATATACTGTGCGGGGGGGGGGGGCGCATGCGAACTGCGCCACTGGGACATTCGGTCGAGTTCCCTCTTGGGTCACACGACTAGCTGTGCTTGGCTCTTTTCTTTGGCGGGGGCGCATGCGAATTGCGCCACTGGGACATTCGGTGAAGCTCCGTCGGGGGGCACGAAACGCTGTATTGGGCGGGGAGACGCGTGCGAACTGCACCACTGGGACCTTCGGTGGGGCTCCCTCTGGGGCCACGAAGCGCCGTGCTGGGTGGGTGCGGCGCATGCGAATTGCGGAAGAGGGAGGAGGGTGAGGAGGAGGGGGGAGGAGGAGGAGGAGGAGGAGGAGGAGGAGGAGAAGGAAGAGGAGGAGGAGGAGGAGGAGGGGTCAGGATCGGATCGGATTGGATCGCCTGTGCGGGCATGCGCCCGGGCCCCTTAAAGGCGAGGCGGGTGAGGCCATGGCCTCGCATGAGAGGCAGCGCGCGTCGGAGGTTTGCTCAGGATAATGCGTACCTCACATGTTGATGTTCAAATTGTTCCCACTCCTCTGTTGTAATCCGATGTAGTGACGTAGTTTCGTTGAAGTCGTAGTGTCTGTGGCATGAGCCTGCCGGAGAATCCCGTGGAGAGGAGAGGAGAGGAGAGGAGAGGAGGAGGAACGCGGGGCGCTGTCTTTGCAGAGCGAAGACCCAACACCACAGAACACTTGGGACAAAACCTATAGCTCTCCTAAGGATTCGCAGGAGTGCGGGCGCAGGTATATTTGAACATGCTGCGAGGCCATGTGTTCTATAGTTTCGGGACGCTCGATTTTGAAACGCGTTCGAAACCTGAGGTTGTTGAAGGGTTTCCGCATGCGCGCACGACGACGGGCGCGTGCGCACTTCGTCCCACCCGTTGCTATACATTACTGCGACAAACCGCGCGCAAGGGCGGTCGAGCGATTTCGGCACGCGCGCGCGAGGAGCACGTTTGGTAGCATTTGATGATTTGCCAATGTTTTCGGGACACTCGATTTGAAATCCTTGCGTTACCGAGGTTTGTTTGACGGATGTCGGCAAGCGCGCGCGACAACGCGCGCGAGCACTTAGTCCCATCTGCGACAAAGGGATTATGTTAAAACTGATGCGTTGTGATAGGCGAGTGCGCGCGCATTGTATTTTTGTGGTTGTGGGTGAGGGGGCGAAACCGGTTTGGCTGGGATGGCAGGCGTTGAAATATAGGATGGACGATGGGGCAGAATCGCATGTAACTTGCATTGCGCGAAAGAGGCTCGTTAACTCCGGGGAGGGGAAGGGAGGTAGAGAGATTCGATTACGTTTGTAGAACATGGGGTACATGTTGTGTGATACATGTGGAGCAACGTATGTTGTGCAACCCCACACACCCTCTGGGCGTATGTGGTTTAGGGAGGTTCCTCTTAAACCCCCTTCTTCCCTTTCGGTGCAGGGTTTACCACTGCTCCCTATTAGTATACACCCGCTCCCCAAGGCGACTGGGAGCCACTCAGGTCCATGCGGGCACCCCCCCCACCATCCTTTGTAAACAACAGTACAACACACACTCTGCCCCCACCATCCCTTGTAACAAAACAGTGCGAACACACACGCACACACACACACACACACACACTCTGTTTCCTAATTCGGAGCATGCGCAGCGAACCCGATGCGGCCTCCCCCCACCATTCCTGTCAAAAGACACTCCAGAGTACACTTGGCGGCGGCGACGGCTGCGGCGGCTGCGGTGGGGGCAGCGGCTGCGGCGGCTGCGGCGGTGGCGGCGGCGGGGGCGGCGGTGGCGGCGGGGGCAGCGGCGGCGGCGGCAGCGGTGGCGGCAGCGACTGCGGCGGCAGCGGCTACGGCGGCGGCGATTTGGCAGCGGGGGCGGCGGCGGCGGCGGCAGCGGGCAGCGCGGTGGCGGCGGCAACGGCGGACAGCGGCGGCGGCGGTGGCG